ATCTAGGTTACAATAAATGAAGGATACAATAATACGTTTATATTAAAAATTTAATGAGATGACCTATAAATAAAATCAAGAAAAGCATTTTCTCTTCTTTATAAATAAGACCAAAAGAGCGTAACGCACTATCAATAGGGAGATAATTATATCATTTAGCTTCTAATTTTTTTATCAGAACAAATTTTAATATAATAAAAGATCTCAAATCCCACAGCAATCAGTTTTAATTTTAATATTCTTTGCAGTTCCACGATCTATTCTACAACTTTCTAAGGGAAAATAAATTGTTGGGAGCATTTCTGGTTAAATTTGTCAGTTGACTTTTTAAATTTAGTAGTTATATATTTTTACCTTACCAAATCGTGTCGATTCGCTCTAAATTTATGTTACTTGTAAATTCAGTTGAACTCACAAATTTACACACAGAGTTTATTATTTTTATATTTTTAACTTACAAAATCGTATTAATTCACTCTTAAACTCATATTAATTTTTTAAAATTTGATTATGATTAGTGATTTTATATAAAAAATTTATAAAAATTTCTTTCTTAAGTATGATAAACTATAAATATTTATTATTTATGGACTTAATTTCAATTATTTGAATTTGAAATATATTCAATAAAATTATAGTCATTTTTACATTTTATTATTTTATTATATACGTTTAATAGTTACTTATTCTTAATAGTAAACTCTTACGAGTGTACATTCCTATCACAAGTTTTTTAGATTTGTAAGTTTAATAACATAGGTTGGAAGCATATATTATTTATTTATCCACCACAACAAAACTCATTCAAGTTTTTTATCCTTGAATTTTGAGTAATTTGAACTTTTAAAGCTTTTTAGTAACCTCATGATAAGTTAGCCGTGGTTGACGGGCACAAGAGCAATAAATCAATAATGAAAGACTTACCAAAATTGTTTGAATTACTGTGACTTAAGAAGCATCTCTACTGTAACTTTATAATTTTAAAGGTATTTTCAGCACGTTTCACACAGATCAAGAAAGATCTTAAACTGTATTAATTTTTTATTAAAATACAACAACTTTTTAACTTCACCCTTATTTAATACATACATCTTCAAAAAAAAAAACTATCAATATTGCAATAAATAAAGGATAAAATAGTAAATCCGTACTAAAGATTTAATGAAATGATTTATAAATAGAATCAAGAAAAATCTTCTCTCTCTACCTTATAAACAAGACTAGAGAAGTAGTCTGTACCCTAGACTTCGAGGTGAGTTGGCTCCTATATTGGGGATAAAGGGCATCTCCTCAAGGGGCATACCTTGCAATTTGTCTTGTTTCACAGTATATGCACAGGTATACATCTTTTTATTGGAAGTAATTATGTTTAAGGTATGGCCAAATATTAAACATATGCATATCTCTTAACAAGAATTCGATTATGGAAAGCTAGATTATAACCACAACAACATAATTTCCCAGAACACATATTAACAATTTATTTTCTCCAAATAATATTAAATAGTTTCTTTCATGAACTATTATTCCTTGAGTGGAAAATTTAAAAGTCGGGACAAATAATAGCAAAAAAGTTGGAATCCCATTCCACACGTTGAGACTGATAATGGGGGTGTTTATTGGTCTATAATCCACAATATAAGTCGCTTATAGAGATTTGTTTGGTCCAAAAATATAAATCACTTGGAGAGTAATTAATATGCTTATTCGTTGATTTTGTCCTTATAATTAATGCTTAAACGTAACTTTTTATATATTTTTCTCTCTTCTTTAGACAATCTCATTTAACATAGGTCAAGTTGAAAAAAAAAATTTCAATTTAAAACAAATTTAATGAGTTAACTATTATTATTTTTATTTCAATGAATTAGTTAAAGTGACTTGTATTAAGAAAATACTATAACAACTTTTTCTCCTGCCAAACAATGAATAGTCTCTTTTATTAGTTATTTAAATGTCGACAATTTGAAAGTGGGGACCAAAGTCACATGTGGCTGTTAATCAGTATGTATATAGAATGGCCCGCGACAATAATTTTCAATATTCACCACTTTCCTATCACTTTCTTTTTCATTTCTTTTTCTTATAAATAGTGCCATTCTGATACATTTTATTACTACATTGAATATTGATAATTGTGATGTGCTCAAGATAATAGTGGTAAATAGAATTATATGTTGGCGAGGTACTTAGATGTCATGTTGAAATTATTTATATTTTGGCGATATTCTAAACATAAAAGGATTAACTAAATAAGCTGAACATCCCTCAAACATACAAGTTTCCTTAAATATAGATAGGGTTTGCTTGATACTCATACTTAGGAAGATTTTCAAGCAAAAAATAATTTGGACTTGATGGATGAAAATAAATTAAATTTCCTTTTCAAGATAAAAAATTTCTCTTGTTCATTAATTAGGTGACTAACTTTTCTACACAACAAGACGTGTTTAGGTACTTCCCAACCCAACAACACAGCAAGTTAGAAAATAATAGAGAACGTCCTATCCCTTTCAATTAATGAGATGATGGGCCATTATTCTAACTTCAAACAGCAGGGGTTATAACTTTCTTATTATCTCCCCAATTCTTAATATAAGATTCGGTTAATTTATTTGAAGAGATTAAAGAATAGAAGTTAATAAATTATCCTAAAGTATTTATATTTGTTGTTTTTCTCTAAACTAGTTTTTCACTCTTATAGATTGATATATATAATCTAATAATACATGTAAACATTTTAGAGAAATTGTGTAACATATGCTATAATTGAGTGATTTAATAACTTTCTTAATTTCTCCAAATTAATTAATTAGATCTTATATTATGGACTGGAGGTAGTATATTATATAACTTGTGCATGCATTATCAATTGGGAGATAATTATATTATTAGAAAATGTCCTTTCCAATCATGAAAAAATTCATTCAAGTCTTTTTTTAATCCTTTTAAGTAATTTAAAAATTTAAAACTTTAAAACTTTTTTTATAGCAAAATTTGAAAAACTATGGTGGTTGGATGTAACCTTATGAATTTTATGATTGTATCTATATGTTTGTCGTAGTTGACGGACAACAACATTAAGTCAATAATGAAAGACTTAAAAAAAAAAGTTGAATTATGATTTAAGAATCATCTCGCCTATAACTTTGGGATTTTAACACGCACAAACATAATAACTCAATTACAAAATTTTTACCTCTGGATTCGTGTAAGTATCTTTTTACTATAAACAATTCTATTCTAAACACAATGGATACTAAATGTGAATATCTCTCCATGACAATTCAATTATGAAAGACTTATAACTACAAAACATAATTTTCCACAGCAGATACATTAGCAATTTATTTTCTCCGATCCAAAGAAAAATAGTCCTTTTCATGAACTGTTATTGTGTGGAAAAATTATTAAATTCATAATAGCTAGGGACAAAAATAATAGCAAGGAAGTTGGAATCCCATTACATACGTTGCCGCTAATCATGTGGTTGTTTATTAGTCTATAATAATCAACTTACATGCAAACACCAATAGAATCACCACATTAATTAATTTTCTTTTTCATCATTATCCTGTCAATTTTATTTTATTTTATTTGACTAGTCTCTAATCAACTCCATACAAACAAATATGGATAGAATGGCCCACAATAATTTTCTATCTTCAACATTAATTCCATCACTTTTGACGAAATAATTCTTTTGGTGGTCTAATTAAATGTTGGTTAGATTTAGCAGAAGGGGTTGGTTTCTTCTTATAATATCGTGAATTAAGATTTTAATTTCTGTTAAGAGATGTACTTACATTTAATACCTGACAATACTTTGAACATAATTGCTTCCAATAGAAAAATATTTGTGTCTAGAAAAAAAAATGTTATGTTGAAATTGTTTTTATTGTGACATTTGTAAAAACAAAAGGATTGACGACGTAATTTGATCATCCTTTGTAACAAGAAAGAATTAAACACCTTGTGTGTGTGTATGAAGGATTTATTTGTTATACTTACATATAGAAGGTTTACAAGAAAAAAAAAAACTACGTGGACTCGATGGATGAAATTAATTTTCCTTTTCAATACATAAAAAATTATATAAATAAACTTTATTATATTTTTATCTTTATTTCTCTTATTCATTACCTAAATTTTTGCATTACAGGACGTATTCAATAGATAGAACCCAACTTGAGCAACACGGCAGGTTAGACAATAACAAAGGACCCGTTCATATCACTCAATTAAATGATGGGCCATTTTTCTAACCACCAATGTTCATGGGAAAAAAAAAATTCTAACCACTAATGCATAATAACGATCATGTGGCTTCAAAAACAATTATTTAGAGTTTTTCGTATTTTCTTAATTTATGCATTATGTTTTTTTTTAAAATAAGCAACTTTCTGCAAGAAAATAGTTATGGCCCTATATACAAATAACCAGCAACTTTCTGCAATAAAATTCATGTTCGTTAAGCCTGTGAGTAATTTTTATTTTAAAACTTTTTTTTTTTTGCAGATTCAAAAAATTACATACCGTAGTTGACCAGCCACGAGTAGACTCATTGGTCCCAGAAAAAAATGGGGACAACTGTAGAAGCTTCTTGTTTGTTCCTTTGAACCCAAGAACACCCACGTTTACCTCAATACCTTTATTGTCATTGATGATTTTAATATCTTCATACAATAACAAGAGAATAAAAGAATTATTTCAGCAAGTTATTTAAATGTGTATTAAATTCTTTTTATTTTAGCACTCTTTAAAATAAAAGGGTTTAATAAAGAATATTTGAAAATCTTTTATAACAGATAAAAAAGTTATCCTTAAAATAAACTCCTTACATGATGAAAAATGAAGTTAAAAAGAAAAGTTTTTTGATGTATTAAAAAAAAAAAATCGAAAGTGACATTATAAATACTAGCTACTCTCTTCTCCAAGAGTTGCATGTCCATCGAAGCACAAAAAAATTGTTAGCAAAAACCTCATTGGTTGACGTAGTCATGGATGGTTCTTGCAATATCGTCGTGGTTGTTTTTCTTTGGTTACTTACCTTATCCAATGTTGATTTATGCATTTGCAGAACATCTTATAAGGTTCAATGCCTTCCAAGTGAGCGAGATGCCTTACTTAAGATGAAGAGTCATCTCTCAGATCCTTCAAATAGGCTCGCCTCTTGGTCTCTCCATGCAAATTGCTGCAGCTGGGCTTCAGTTGTTTGGCACAACATCACAGGCCATGTTCTTGAGCTCCATCTCACGACTCCACCTCCTTCACAGTTCAATGGCGATCTATTTTACGGGACATTAATGTTTGGTGGTCAGGTACATTCTTCTTTGCTTGACCTGAAACATTTGGATTATTTGGATTTGAGCAATAATGATTTTGGAGGTATGCACATTCCTGGTTTTCTTGGCTCAATGACAAGCTTGACGTATCTTAACCTCTCTAATGCTGGGTTTGGTGGAAGCATTCCTCTTCAATTTTGGAATCTTTCCAATCTGATCTATCTTGACCTTGGGAGCAATCATTTGGAAGGAAGCATTCCTCATCAAATTGGAAAACTCTCCAATTTACAATATCTTGCTCTCGGAGGTAATGAATTTAACGGAAGCATTCCCCATCAAATTGGAAATTTCTCCAATTTGCAATATCTTGATCTTGGAGATAATCAGTTTAGTGGAAGAACCCCCCATCAAATTGGAAACCTCTCAAATCTAATCAATCTTCATCTCGGATTTGTTGAAAACCTTCAATGGATTGCAGCTCTTTCTTCTCTTCAGCATCTTGAGCTGAGTTCTTTAAACCTATCCAACACCTTTGATTGGTTTCAGGTTCTACATTCACTTCCTTCCCTGAGAGAGTTGCACTTGTTAGAATGTGATTTCAACCATCATTTTGAACCATCCATCATAAACTTTTCATCTCTAGCTGTCCTTCACCTTTCTGATTCTTATTTTCACACTTCATTGATTCCAAATTGGGTATTTCAACTGAAAAGATTGGTTCATCTTCAATTAAACAATAACAGTTTTCAAGGTCCCATCCCAGTTGGTATTCAAAACTTAACTCTCCTTCAGCATCTTGATTTATCTGACAATCAGTTCAACTCTTATATTCCTGATTGGTTGTACAGTTTTAGTCATCTAAAGTCCCTTATTCTCTCTCAAAACTACTTGGTTGGCACAATTTCTATGAATGTTGGAAACTTGACTTCTCTTGTTACTCTTGATTTACATGAAAATTATTTAGAAGGTTCGATTCCAATTTCTGTGGGAAATCTTTGCAACTTGAAAAAACTAGATATTTCAGACATGAAGTGCAACCAGCAAATTTCTCAAATATTAAAAATTCTTTTAGCAAGATGTGTTTCCCATGCACTAGAGATTTTTCATATGAGTGGTTCTCAATTATCTGGCCATCTCATTGACCAGATTGGTCTTTTCAAAAATCTTATTGCACTTGATCTTTCTAGCAACTCCATTCAAGGTCCAATACCTAACTCACTGGGAAACCTTGCATCTCTAAAATATCTTGATCTATTTAGCAATTCCATTAAAGGTGCACTTCCTAGCTCATTTGGAAATCTAACATCTTTGATGTCTCTTACTCTCAATAGAAATCAACTTGAAGGAAATCCTTTTGAAATTCTGGGATTACTCTGCAAATTGATTTTTCTTATTTTGGAACATAATCTTTTTCAAGGAGTTGTAAAAGAAGCCCACCTTGTGAATTTTACCCGCTTGCAAATATTATCGGTAGAAAGAAACCAACTCACATTAAAAGTGGACCCTAATTGGAATCCTTCTTTCCAACTTTTGGAGGTGTTAGCTTTGGCTTCTTCGAATTCAGGTCCCCACTTTCCATCGTGGATTCAATCACTAAAGTATCTTTCACATTTGGACATCTCCGACAACAACATTTGTGATTCAATTCCAACTTGGTTATGGGGCATGGTTGGAAATCTCGATTATTTGAATCTCTCCCACAATCATATCGAAGGAGAGCTTTCGAATATGCTAATAAACACTTTTTCTGAAGGTGCTGTTGATCTAAACTCAAATAAGTTACATGGCCAATTACCGTATGTATCACAAAATACGGAATACTTAGACCTCTCAAGCAATTGGTTTTCAGGATCCATTACTCGCTTTTTGTGTCATAAACAAGAGGAGACAGGGTTACTTTTTCTTAATTTGGCATCAAATAATTTATCAGGTAAAGTACCTGATTGCTGGGCGAGGTGGCCATATCTTGAGGTAGTGAACTTAGGAAACAACCATTTCACTGGAATCTTACACACATCCATGTCCTCCTTGCCATGGTTGAAAATGTTGAACCTTCGCAACAATACTTTTTCTGGAAATTTTTTGAGTTTTTTGAAGAACAGACGCGACATTGTTTGCTTGGATCTAGGAGAGAATCAATTTTCAGGAATGATTCCATCTTGGGTTGGACAAAGTTTGTCAAGCTTAAAGATTCTTGTTCTGAGATCAAACAAATTTTTTGGTCCAATCCCTTATCAAATTTGCGACTTGAGTGTCTTACAAATCTTGGACCTCGCAGATAACGAGTTGACAGGACATCTTCCAAAATGCATCAACCATTTGAGTGCCATGTTGGTAATAAATAATAGTTTAGAGTCACACATTTCCTTTGACTTAGTATCTAGTGATCTATGGGTAGTTGAACCATTATTGCTGAAAGAAAGGGTTTACGATTACAGCTCCAACCTTGGTCTTGTCACTAGTATCGACTTCTCAAATAATAGATTATCTGGAGAGATACCTACAGAACTTCCAGGACTTAAGGGACTTCATTTTTTGAACCTTTCAAATAATGATTTTATTGGCAAAATTCCTCAAAATATTGGCAATATGGAATCACTGGAGACTATGGACTTCTCAAGAAACCATCTTACAGGTGAAATCCCGCCAAGCATGTCCAAATTGAGCTTTTTGAGCATGCTGAACTTGTCTCACAATAATTTGACGGGAAAAATTCCAACAGGAACCCAAATACAAAGCTTTGAAGCATCAAGTTTTGTTGGCAATTATGATTTATGTGGTCCTCCTCTCAACAATAGTTGTTCATCAAACAGCTCTAGCAGCAAAGAAGAAGAAGTCCCTCATGTTAAAGGAATCAATTGGTTCTTTGTGAGCATGGCATTTGGATTTATTGTGGGGTTCTGGATAGTGGTGGGTCCTTTGCTCTACAGCAGTTCATGGAGGTATGCTTATTTCCAATTTATTGATCGCATGTGGTATAAACTGCAATACAGTTCCTATCGGTAAAAGCAAATCGAGGCCTAATTTGCACATGGAAGGTTGGTGTTTTTAGAAGATAAGTGATTTATCTCTCTCATAATCATATTATGTTTTTCAATAATGATGATGTAATTGATGAATAAACTCATTTACAAGGATTGTGTAATTCAACTTTGAATGTCATCCCACTGTAATATATTTGTTGGAATGATAGAGTTGTGCTCTTAATATATGCATTACAGATAAAACTAAGCAATACATAATTATCTATCTATTTTATAAATTATCTTCAAAAAAGTAACATTAAAGATGTAACATCTACACTTTAAAGACCAGCCTATAATATCATGCATAAAACTCTATTTAATCTTCGCTTGTTTTAATTTCATACAAAGGCTAATCACTGACTAGCATTTGTAAAAAAAACTAGATTCAATGCATTATCTTTGAGGAAGCAATACTCCATCTTACAAAACCTGTAACCACCAATAATCAAGTTCAATCCAAATAATAAAAACTGCAAGAAAAGAAAAAAGAACTTTGTTTGCCCAAGAAATAGAATAGGATATTTTACGATACCAAAATCTTTTAGAATAGAATAGCCTAACATCAAGCACACTGTCAATAAAACGCCATTTACAACATTTTGCTTAAACAACTTTGTTATAAAAGAACATGAATACATAAGCTTAAACAACTCGTGGCAAATCAATTAAACAAATACATCACAATCAAAAAATTGATCAAGTCAAAGGTCAAATGTGAGTTCCCAACACAAACCAATCTAAATGATTGAATTACAAGAAAGATGGAAAGGGTGGAGAATCATTACAGGACCCCAAAAAATGGGGGTCAGAGGGCCAAGTATATCAGATAAATCAGTAAGGATTTTTTGAATTAGCATGCACACCCACGCCATTCCTCATTCTCAGGAACAGTTTTTGGAATACCTTGAAAGCATCTGCAATTAAAAATGGAACATTATTTGCTGGCATGTATATTTCCTTTATGCTCTGTTCTTTTAGGATCACTTGCTATCGTTTACGACTGAGTGTTTAGCTAGTAAGATTATCTTCCTAATTTCCCAGTAAGATTAGGTTTCTTAAGGTTCTATCATTCTTATTGAAGATTGAGACAAATATCCTATATTTTATATATACACATGCGCATACTACATATATATATATATATATATATATATTAGATGTAAAGATCTTGATATGATTTTGAATATGTGCATCCCAATTTAAAGCAAAACTTACATGTCCTGCCCTTGCTCATTAGCTAGAGCAATCTTAGCAATACACAAAAAAGCAACATCTATATTGTAGTCCTCTTTAGTAGATGTCTTGAAGTAAGGAATATTTTTTTTGGACGCACACCAGTCCAATGCTTTCTTCTCAGACACCTGAGTTCAAGATAACCACATGAGGCTTCTTAGGTGGTAGGAAAGGCAATGGTTTGGAAAAAAAGATCATGAGTTCAATTACTCCCCTTAGAAAATTTTTCTTTTTAAAAAATAGGTTATGAGAAAACTTCAAAACACATCACCGTCTGCTTATTACCACTCGACTATTTCCCCCATCAATATGAACCCTGTTTTCAAGCAATATAAACAGAAATTTTCTCATATTAAGAGCATTTACCTGTGTTTCCATGAAAGTTTTATCTTAATAGGAGCTCATCTTGAGCCAGAAAACATAAGTCAAAGGATAAAAAAGGCTATCAAATATTGACATAAAAATGATAACAAGTATAAAGATGTAGAAGAATCAAATATTGCATAAGAAAAGAAATTTTGATCAAGTTCTGTATTCCAGTTATGCATCCTCACCAAACAAAATATTAACATTATCACACTTGGTGGACTCAAATCTCTTCAAAAAAAAAAAAAAAACAAGCAACCAATTTAGTGCAATCTCTTAACTTCATATGTATAGAGGATATATTTCCCATAACCAAAAATGTTGCTGTCTTCTACTTCGGTTAAAACGCTATTAAAGCACAATATATAAGATATTGATGACAAAAATGCCATGTGTAGATAAAAGGGCTAAGTGAAGAAAATAGGGAAAAAATTAAAATTGAAGGTAATAAAGCAACAATAGCGTCAAAATTGCTAATTTTTGGAACCCACGTATTCAAGAAAATATGATATTATGAGTCTAGTTCCTCCAAAAAATGGTTTAATAACAAGATGGATGACATAGTCTAAAACTAGAGGCTTCATGGTGTGTGAGGCTCCATGTAAGACATACTGGAAATGAATGAACGATCCATTCGACTCCTAGGAAGGTGTTCATTGCTGGAACTGAAGCGCTACAAAGAGAGTTCATCTTGTTTCTTCTCTAGATTCAGATTCTCAATTCTAATTAGCTTAGATTTAAGTTTATTAGACACTGTGATTTTGAATTTGTATGATCACTTGATTGAGGGTGGCATTTGAGGACAATCTCCTTTGTGATTGCTTGCAATTCTAGATGCTCCTCTTGATTAAGGCATATAATTTTCTGGTTTCAAGATTCACTTGATACATTTGCATGTTAGACATGATATTGCGTTGTAGATGTGATTAATTCTGTTTGCAATCTGACTAGGGGGTTAAATCAATTCCATATCCTAAAGAAAAGCGAGGCAAGGATGAACACTATCTCTAGGAGTTGCCAATCACATATCATCTCTTACCATATTCCACTCCTCCATCACAGAAAAACAATTAGTTTTAGATGATTGGAAATAAAGAATTTAAATCGCCGTCTCTTCTCTTAATTTGTCATTAAACTTCATCTCTTAATTTGTAATTAAACTTCATTAATTGGAAATTCTAAAAGCTAGAGACCAAAGAGAACCGACCTACGGTTGACTCCACTACACTATAGAGTTTAATTCTAGTATTTTGATAGCTAAACAACAAGTTTATCAATGATCAATAAAAATGACTCCAGATATTGGAGACATGGTCCGTGGATTATGCTAAAAGGAATCAATTGACTCAAGTCAGAATCATTTTGAAGTTCCTTCCTAATTGTTCAGTTCTTTCATGTTTACCTCTTCTTCTTCATCTTTTTGTTTTTATTTTGGCTGTGTTTCAACGGCTAACAAATAACAGCACTGGCCACTGTTAGCACATGAATAGAAATGAGGAATCAATTTTTATCTTGCGTTGAATTTGCTGCAATGGTTTAAAAGTATTTATTCTAGTTTTTCTGCACTGGCACCAAGTTATAGCTGATCGTATCTTTCCAAACTTTGAGATATTTTATAAATAAAAGGATCGAAAAAATTGCCATAGGTGATTCTATATGCAAAATTTGTTGAAAATGTTAATAATAGGAGTTTTGCTTTGGTGATAAAAGGAACCAAATCCATGTTAAGGAGAGGCTACTTTGGTGAGGATAAAAATCTAAGAAAGCCAAATATAAAAATGAAAGCAGTCACCCTTGAAAAGTATAGAGATGTTTACTCATGATTTAAAGTTTAGAATAAGGAGGACCATAGTTCATTTTTAGATTTGGTCAGGCTGCTTTGGTGAGGATAAAAATCTAAGAAAGCCAAATCTAAAAATGAAAGCAGTTAGCCCTGAAAAGAGTAGAGGTGTTTGCTCATGATTTAACTTGAAAAGAGTAGATATGTTTACTCATGATTTAAAGTTTAGAATAAGGAGGACCATGGTTCTTTTTTCACTAAAAACTCTATATGCAAAATTTATCAAAATGTTAATGACATAAAATTTTGCTTGGGGAGAGGCTACTTTGGTAATGATCTATTGTTGTTTGAAAAATTATAAGGGAGTTAAGAAATTTTGTTTGAAAAATTTCACTGTTGTTTGCAAGAACACATAGGCAATGTACTTACCTTAGGCAAGATACTCCCTTTTAGCCTATCTACAAATGTTAATGACATAAAGTTTTGCTTAGGAAGAGGCTGTTTTGGTAATGATCCACCGTTGTTTGAAAAATTATAAGGGAGCTAAGAAAGCCAAATCCAAAAATGAAATCAAAGATAGTCTAAAAGGAGTATGCTTGCTCAAATGGTAAGTATATTGCCTATGTTCCTGCATTGTTTTTAACTATATTATTTTAGAAGATATTCAACTCATTTATTTTTTTTCATGCAACTATCTCACACAATCCAACCTTCCCTCTCTTCCTCTTCATTTGTCCTCACACATTCCCTTCTCTTTTGTTCTCATACTTGTATTCTAAAGTTTTTAATTATTTAACTATGATTTTTAATGTTACTTACAAGTATAAGTTAATAAAATTTTCTAGAAAATATCTTATAATTAAAAAATAAAAGGAGTGCCAAACGCTTCATGATAAAAATGGATTACAATATGTTTTTCTAGTTCAAATATAAGTTTTTTTTTTAAAATTTAATTGTAGAAAAGGGTAAGTTAAAATGTCATAATTAATATGTTTAAATCTTATAATTAAATTGTTAAACGCTTTAAATTTTATCATTATGTATTTATATTTTGAATAAGTTAAGTTGGGATCCGCCGTGTTTTCTTATATAAAAAATGACGGGAATGTTCTTTAAGATTTAAACACGAATTAAAATATCTAAAATAAAAAATCTTAATATTAAGTGCGTTGCCAGAATTTCAATCTTTGAAAGAAAGAAATTTAAATGAAATATTTTCTTACAAAAATAATATTTTAAAATAGAAAAAATATATTGCACCCGTTATATTGACAGCCATAAATATATTTTCTCTACATTTTATTAACTTATAACTATTGTCACATAACATTAAAAATAATTGAAATCGAAAATTTTAGAGCACATGTATGAGAATGAGAGGGAGAGTGTGAGTATAGATAGACAGGGAAAGGTGGAACTTATTCCAAGTACCTCATTGCGACTGAGATGGGAAGGGAGCTTCCCCCCCCCCCCCCGGGGGTCTAATTTTCAGAATATAAATGGCGTGCTTTAAAAGACACAGAAAACACGAAAAGAGTGCCAATGAGGCAGCCCTCCTGTTGCACTTAATAACTTCTTATTTATATTTATTTATTAAAAATAAATAAATATATTTATTTATTGAAAAGAAAAAGAACACTTAAAAGTCTTAAAGTATCCTCATGCATGCAAATATAAATATAATCTCAATTATAAGAATCAAGTCAATGTTACAAAGGACAGTAAAAAAAAAAGTCAATGTTACAAAGGGGATCGCAGATATAAAAAGAAGGCCCAAATATGCTCATTAGTGTAAAAGTCATGAATCTTTATGAAACTCTTGAATATATTTTTTTTTTTTCAATTTTTTCTTCTCTAAAACAAGGGTAAGAAAAACATAATAAAGACCAGAAGTTTTTCCCCTCTCCTTTTGAAAGCAAAAAACAAGACAAAAAATCTCTTCCCCACACTTGTTAAATATACAACCATAAACAATGCTAGTAGGAAAAACTCTCATCTGATGGCTTTTATGCAACAGAAAGCTCAGCCCCATTATACAGAAGACCAATTTTATGCCGATTCAAGGCAAATCAAGGAACTCAGTCCAATAGAATACATTCAAAAAGCTCAGAGATTCATGGTTCACGGTGCAATAGACTACCCTTGAGATTCATGGGCATAAAAAAGACACCAGATATTCAAACTCTATTGAAAGCCCAAACTTTCTCTCGCCGATCAGATCACAATACTCTTTTAAACAGTAAGCATGAAACACAATCTACAATAGGAGAATGATTTTTGGAGGCTTACAGTAATATGTTGGCGCATTCCTCTAACCCATTTGAATTGAATCGCAGCAAGATCACAGCCAAACCCTCTTCTTCTCTAATACTGATGACATCACCACCGCCACTTCCGGCGTCCGTCTTCTCGCTGGCGGAGGTGGAGTACCATTGGCTGAGATGCATATTCAGTGACTCGGTTGAGGAGAACTGGATCGGATAATATAAATAGATTTATCAGTCCTAACGTTACAATTTGTGAAAGACTGAAAATTTCAAAATTTAAATGATCTCATTAACGGCTATTTTCGTTCAAGATCGGTGACTCGATTAAGGTCGATAGTGAAAGCCGAAGCCATGTGTCCCCACAAACAAATCATACACACACAGTTAATATGTAAACCCATAGTTTTTGAATTAGAATTGGAATACAGGCGACCTGTTACCTTCTAATTTGAATGAAAATAGCCGTTAACTAGAATTGGAATTCAGGCAATTTGTTTCCTGTGATTTGAATAAAAATTACCGTTAACTAGATGGTTATTTTTGAGAAGTCAGTCTTTCCAAAATTGTAACGTTGGGACTAAGTTTGCTCTTTATTTACTCAATCGTGTCTTCACTGAGTAACATGAGCCACAATTGCTCCGGCAGGCGTTCCAGGTCCATTAGTGCGATCATCTGCGATTCCATTGGCAGTGGAAGTGACTCTGCTTTTGGGTTCAATATGAACGAAATCGAAGTGCTCAAACTTTGCGTCTCCTCTTATCGTAAGTCTCCATCCACATTCTATTTCTAGATGTTACTGTTTTTTTCGAGTATTGTCATTTGATTGGGCGATGAAGGTTTGGGCTCTTAGGAGAGAGCCACTTTCTGGTCAGTTTCTGGATGTTAAGGCGAATGCACCGCGCAGCTTTAGGCTTTTAGCATGTTTCATAGATCTGAGTGTATTTTTCCTTCAT